CATGTGACAGCATTTTCTCTTGATCAAGGCAACCGCTGAGTTTCGTTCGTGTATCGATGTTCATTGGCGCCTGTGTTGTTGTCTTCATTTGTGTGGGGATGATTTTCAGTATCAAATACAAAGTGATTATTATCATTTCACAGAAATATAGCGCTGTAGAACGTGTTGTTTTTCGCACTCAGATCGATGGAAAATTATTACCTCATGCTGTATTGATGGTTTTTGGCTCTGGGATCGATAATATCCAATTGCCCAACACGAAATTGATTTTTTTTGCTATTGAGGATCACTTCCGGCTTTGACGATGTTGAGTTGGATACTCAAGCATACATGAACATCAACAAATGCCCATTCGTCGACTTATAATGAACCCATTTGTTCATTTCGCTCGTTTACGTACGAAGATTTTCAAAACAAACGAAATTTATGTACACACTGGGTTGAAGCGCTAGTCATTGCTTGTGTTGGTAATTGATAAAAACAGACACTGGTTAGAACGCTGTTCGATGCAAAGTTTCTTTTGTTTAGTTATGATTCAAAACTATAGATGTACTTGTATATGTAATTTATGTACATTAGATACGATTTGCAATTATATGCTACACGCTATTTAAAAACTACCCAAATTTTGGTAGAATCAACCCAAATCAGTCAAAACAGATCATACAAACATCTTCTCGAAAATCGAACGATCAACGACAGAGGGATTTTCGAACATTATAATTGATTAAATGTCAAATTTAAGTAAAAATTCACCAAATGAAACACAGCCTAAGTTAGCAGTTACAAGTCGACAAATGAATAACATCGATCGGATTCAGATCGTACATTCCAACTTCAAGGTTAACTTTTTTTCCTCTCTAAGTCGACTGCTGTATATAGATAAAACCCTTTCATTCAAAGTACGCATCGTCATCGACTGCTGACGGTGTCAGCCGTGTTACAAAGGCTGTAATTGTTGTTCTGCCCCTGCTTGTTCACCCCATCTCTCGCTGTTCAGGCCAGGGCAACGACTCATCTGCCGAGGCAGCAGAGAATTCTTATCTCTAGGGGTCGATTTTTTTCTCTTCTATTTGAACAAACGAGTTGAGTCTGTACCAGTTTCGCAACAAACGGTAGTTAATGGCACAAAGCGACGCGCCGACGATGACAACGACGATCATGCCTTATATAGGTCATTTGACCGGGATTTGGCTTATGGGTTATTATGACCTTGCCCATATTAACGGTCAAGAGCGAGGGCTCGACTTATTCGGTGGACACTGCCGGGACTGGAATATGATCAGTAAATGCATTAATGATCGTCACGTGGACCAAACTTTTTGGTGCTGTTGAGTCACGAAATAGAATTTAGTAATCTCACCAAGTTAGGCTCTGAACCATTTGGTCGATTTTTTTTTTAAATTCTGGTTAAAATTTGACAGATGAAAAATTATTGATGAACCCTGCTATCCGAGCATGGTTATTTCTGACAGACAAGAAATTTTGACAACCGTGGGTCGGAAACCGGTCGATCGACAGCACAAGGATTTTCGAACATAGAAAATAACTTTCGAAATGTCAGTTTTAACCACGAGTTAAATTTAACTCGACAAATGGTTCACAGCCTAAGGCTGTGTTCCATCTGTGACAAACCAGGAATCAATTTTGACAAACACCTTCTCGAAAATCGGAAGATCAACAACAAAAGGATTTTCGAACATTATAATTTATTTACGAAGTGTCAATTTTAAGTGAAAATTCACCAAATGGAACACAGCCGAAGCCTGCACTCAAAGATAAATTAAATCAAAAAAGCTTAAAAAGTATGCAGTTTCCCGCTTCACCTTATTGAGTCCGAGCCATGATTACTTCGGCAGTAGTCATGCATGATTAAATTCGAAATAATCTTTCCAGTATTAAATTTTATTATTTTTCAATACTGATATGTAATCAAAAAAGATTGAAATTCAATAAAAAATTATTAAAATAGAATCAAAAATGATTAAAATTTATTCAAAAAAAGATAATCTACAATCTAATCAACCATGATTAAACTGGGATTAATATCAGATGCTTATATTTTAGAAAGAGAGGATTAATTTTTAATCATTCGATATGATTAAAGTGAGTTTAATGTCAAATTGATTGAATTTCAAGCAAAATGGGAATAGTTCAATTTATCAGTGTGATATCCGAGCGTGGTTATTTCTGATCGACAAAATGCTTGATATCCGTAGCTGAGAAATGTCACTTTTAACCACTAGATAAACATAACTCGGCAATTGGTTCACAGCCTTAGTCAGATTTAGTCCACGATGTTTGTCGACGGCTCCTTAAGAGCCGTCTCCCCCGTCACAGAAAGCTTCAGTTGTCGGCTGTGTCCCAATTGTCGAGTTAAATTTAACTCGTGGTTAAAAGTGACATTTCGAAAATTGTTTTCCATGTTCGAAAATCCCTATGCTATCGATCTACCGGTTTTCGAGCAGAACTCAGCCGCGATTGTCAAAATCTAACTTTTTGTGTCAGCCTAAGGCTGTGAACCATTTACCGAGCTAAATTTAACTCGTGGTTAAAAGTGACATTTCGAAAGTTATTCTGTATGTTCGAAAATCTCTGTGCTGTCGATCGACCGGTTTTCGAGAAGAACTCAGCCACGGTTGTCAAAATTTAACTTCTTGTCTGTCAGAAATAACCACGCTAGGATAGCAGGGTTAATCGATAACTTTCCATCAGTCAATTTTTAACCAAAAGTTAAAAAAAAAATCCACCAAATGGTTCAGAGCTTAAGTGGCAGATTTCTACGCAATTCAGTATAGCGCGTCCTCACGGTATGTGAATCAACTTCCAAAAGTTTTCCAAGTACAACTAATTGCGTTCCGATAATAAACAAACAATCTCCGCCTTTGATAACCTCAAAATAGCGCCTATAAGTGGCTGCACACTTGCCGTGTATGCCCACCCTAATCATTCGCCGAATGTGTCGCAGCAATCCGTTTCAAGTCTACGGAGCTATCTTGACAACTTAGCTCAAATCTATGCATCTACACCTTTCAATAACCTCGCCGTTGTGTGATATCTCCGGCAGCCGGGTGCGTTGATTGTTGTTGTTGTTGTTCTCAAAATTCCATTGACCCAAATCGATTGTTTCGTGCGGGACTATTTTTAACCAGATAAAACCAAGATTTCCAGTTCCGTCCAGAATCGATAAGATTGCAGCTCTGTTTGGCAAACGCGAACTGGTGACAATCTTGGATTTGTCACAAATAATCCGGATCCATTTACAACAACCTGCAGTGGGGCTTATCAGTTATTCGAAAACAATTTCTGTGCAAAAAATTCCACAACAACGGCCTACTGCAGTCGGTGGCGGGAGACAATAATTGAACGTCTGTCAAACTCCCGCCCGGTGGGTGATTGATATCCGAACCCCTCTTCCGAGGCCGATGAGTGACAGGGCACGACATTCGGAAAATTTTTGTAATCTAAAATTTAATTCGCCTTCGGTTCGAATTTCACGTCTACACACACCCGCAGCATAGTACATTCAATATGCTCGGTAAAATTCCACCGTCAACCATGCGGCTCCATCGTGTTTGTGGAGGACATTTTTGTTTTTGTCACCATCAGCACACCTCGCAACGGCGCACGGTACAGTTGTGAGGCGAATGCGTGTGTTTGTGCTCTAATATTAGTTGACTTGCTTTAGAAGAGGACAGCTAGCAAACGTTAGCTGGCCACCGGCCAGGAATAGAGCACGAAGAAGACGCGCTCATTAATCATCTTTTCTGCTGCCTACCGTGATGACCTTAAACATTAAGGTGCTGTTTATAAATTTATAAGCAGCAAAGGCAGTGCTGATCAGCAAAATCCGATATCGATTACGAAACGGGAGCCCCGCGCCCCTGCTCTACTCTTTCCCTTAATTAAACCGACAAGATGAATTGCTGTACAGAGCATATTTACGTCAGAATTTTTAATGAGACTATCAAGTTTGAAGGACACTACAAATCTAACGGCACCCGGGCCTACCCTCCATTACGTAATTGGTGCAAAGTAATCCCGCAGGGATTACTGGGATCGTCTCAACCAGCTGGTACACTTGGCCTGCTTGGATCTCTCTCTCTCTTTCGGAAGAAGTGCGCTGGAGGGAGGCTTACTTGGATAATTGGAAATCCTACCACTCACCTCCGCGATCACTCGACCCCCCACAGCACGGCCAACAATCGGTCGATGTGTTATGTAACACGAAAAGATGGACTGCGCAGGTCCGTGTCGTCTCCATAGGTTATGAACGGACGCACGGTTGGACACGGACGACTCAGGAGTGACTCGCTCTCGCTCGCGCGATGTCTTCTCTGAGTTCCTTGTGTGACCTGGCTGCCACCATCCCCACACATCCCTCATCCAACGCGGGTTGGTGGGTATGGGTGACTCGGGGGTGGCAACAACAGAAAAACGTGCAAACGTGCCGCGCCGCTCCGCCGCCAGGAGAGACTCCTGTCGTATTCCATCAAAATGTTGCAGGTCTGTGGGAAATCGATATTCGACGACCCCATCATCCTGCGCTCGCTCCGCAATGGTTTCTCTCAACCTCCCGTCAAAATCGACTGACTGTAAAAGCATCAAACTGAATCGAATCTCATCGTCTCGAAACCCGTTCCTTTCCCGAAAAACAAAACAAAAATCCTTATCCCAGTTCCTTTTAGCTATAGCCTGCAAGTGTATGTGAATAGAATAGACAACATGCTAATCATGATGATTTTCCCTTTTTTATTTTCATGCATATTATTCCTTGCGTTTTGTGCCCACTCATCATCGCCAAAAAAAAAACCTGTGTGATTTTGTTCATTTGCTGTTTGATTATAATTTTTTGCATCATCTCATCACACCCATTCCGTGATATCCCCCAACAACAACAAAACCCATTACATCACATGCGAATGCGCTCGCTCGCCATTGTTTGTTGCTGTTGTTGTTGTTGTTGTTGTCGATGTTGTGTTTGATGGAACGATACCCAGACCGGTAGGACGGACTCGTACCGAGTCGCCACGGTGGCACCGCTGAAGGATGACAACCGAACCGCTGACGGCCAATACAAGGTAGTACTGTTGTGTGTTTTTCCTTTGTGCAGGTGGCTTGGCCAACTATAATTCGTTTAATCATCCGGTGGAAGGATTCGAATTCTATTACTAACACTTTAATTTGCATGATTAGGCTTGATTACTAACTGGATAATGCTATGCGAAAGAAATCCTAATTACCAACTCTAAAATATTAGGAACTTACATAATTTATATATTTCCCCTTAAAACAATGCTCTTATACCAAAAATACTCTTTTGTACGCCAAAATACGCTGCGGTAAATCAATCGCTGCATTTAGCTGTCACTTTGCCGTAAACGTATTCAATCCGGATGCATTGTGCACCGCTCTTTAAAAGGTGATTATCTCTGACAGATAAGCAGGCGTTACGTAACGTGTTGGGATTGAATGTCAAATGTGGCAACAAACGTGCGAAATCCGTGAGGTCAGTATCATCAGTAGCGATTAGTGATCAACCTGAAGTGAACGTGCAATCATTTTCGGTAGTATTTAGTAGCTGTGTTCTAACGGCTGTTCCGCGTTTGTTTGTCGATGTCCGGTAATTCGAAGTGAACTGTAAACAAAAACACCATAAAGATAATTTTATCGGTATCTTTCGTTTTCCATTGGAATCGTATTCGGTTTTTGTTTCACCAATGCCGCGAATATTTCCGTAACGACATTTTAATAGGGCCCCTTTCGAACATGTAAACAATGACAAACCAAAGTCAGCCTACCTCACCCCCCGAGCATCTAGACAGAAAACCTTAGTTTCACGTACCCACTTGCAAATTGTAGATGTCTCCACCGTACGTAAACAATGGGGTCAGCCATCGTTGGTGGCACAACTTTTTTCACATCAGAAAACATGTTTTTGTTTCACTTCATGTGGACGTCGAAAGCAAACCAAGAATAAATTTTGAGTGAGACGTATTACTGGTGTTGCACATTTTAGATCATGATGCTGTCAACAACCATCGAAATATGTTGATCAAATTATGCATTGATTTCTATCTTAAATATCGACTGGAGCAGTACGCCAAAAACTTCGGTGGGATCAAGATTTCACTACGTAAAAAACTTACTAAACTGATACTGTTCCGTGGAGAATGAAGGAGAATTGATTACTGTATAGTTCAATAAACGTCATAATAAAAAAAACTTTATTAATCCACCAGTGGTGTGATCTGGCACTTCTTATTTCTGTAAATTCTGATATTCTTTTTAAAAATTACCCCGAAAGCACCACCCTAATAAAAATGTTCCATACACGAACCATAACCCAAATAGTTTAACCATATGACACATAGTTCGGAACCTGCACAGGTTTTTAAGCACTTTTTATGGTTATTTCCTAAGTGGGCACTGGGCAGTAACCCGATTAAAGGGTTTCGTTTATTTCGGTTACGTGGTTGCCGACAAACATCACTTAGTTCCAGGATTTTAGGGTCTTGTCCCGTCCATATATCCGGAACCAGTTAATCGATTGAAAGTCTATTAATTAACATTCTATAGAATCATGGTAGCTTTCATTTGGTTGTTGTTGCGTTCAATTCGGTAGAGTGGTTGCCGAGAAATACATATAAGAAAATTGTCTTACGCGCTCTCTCACACACATAAATAGACAGACATTTTCCGATCCCGTCATGCTGAGTCGATTGGAAGACTATTAGAAAAAATATCAATGTTTTTTATAAAAAGTTAAAAAAAAAACAAAAAACTTAAAAACGGGAAAAAAAAAGTTGATAAAAAAAAAGACCAATTGTAAATTTACTCCACCATTATTCGATTTGACAGAACCAGAGTACCAGAATTTTCGGGGTACATTAGCATTACACTGGAGCTGTTTAGTTGCTCCCGGGGTGGCCTACCTAGGTCGTAGACGGCGGAAATTGACCTCGCGTTTTTGACAGTTCAGAGAGCATGTTTGCAAGGTGTTAGAATCTGAAGCGAAAGAACAAAATTAGCGTCGTCGTCTTTCAGCTTGTGATATATGCGATTGTGACATTTTTGTAAAATTTTCACAGCAGTTAGACGCTTCAATCGTGATCATTTTTAGATCACAAACACTCATATTGAAGTCTACGGAAAAGGTTAAATTCCATGTAAACAAGTTCTCTCAGTGTTTCCATTTCCAGGCCATTTGGCTTCCTAGTTAATTGGGTTCTTTAATAGAAAAAAAAATCGGTTTGTATACTGAAATCGGTTTGTATCATCTGAAAAAGCTTCGTTTTCTGAGCAGAACAATGTTTTTTCGAACCCAGACTTTCATCTTGATTCTTAAATCAAGATTTAAAGCATAGTTATAACATCACTGTTCAACACTAAACTAACAAATTGACAGTTCTCTCCCATACAAAGTCGCACCGAGGGGCGCTGAGATGGCGATTTTTTTTTCTAATGTAATCACATTTATTTAAAATAGTTCCGGTGCTTCAAATTTGATGAAATTTTGGATTTCAGTTCCATTTGACATGCAGATTACAAATATGCATTTACCTCAATACCCCTCAAGAAGGCAATGCACGATAAACGGAGAATATTTTTGTTTAAAGTCCAGAAAGATAATAAGTAGAATTAATGGCATTTATTCATCAGAATGTGTATTCCTTCACTTCTGTATAGCAATTTATAATATAATACATAGTTAAACTTCTTAATTTTAACATTTTTACTTCCATCGGGATTTCTTTGGAAGCTTCTTCCAGAAGTCCTTCTGGCTTCCGCGGTAGCTTCTTTTCATTTGGGAGGTTTCTATTCAATCGTTTTCAACTACCCCAGAAGTTTCTCCCGACTTCCTTGATAAGTCTTTTCGGCTTCGAAGGAAAATGTCTTCTAATTTCCTCGGAAGTTTTTTCTGGACTCCATCAGAAATTTCTTCTGGCTTCACTTAGAAAATTCCTTTCGTTCCGATTTCCACCAGAAATTTCCATGGAACATTTTCCCGACTTCCTTCGAAAGTTTTTCCGACTCCGCTCGAATCCTTCTGTGGTACTTTCTTTAAACTTCTGCTGGACATGTTCTGCTAACTTCTAATCTCTCGATTACTCCCCAAACTTTCTTCCAGCATATGCCAGAATTCTTCATCACTGGAAATGTCCTTTCGGAACATGCTTCTAGCTTCTCGCAGAAGTTTCTTCTGACTATCCCCTGACTAAAATATTCTGGCTTACGCTGGAAGTTTCTTCCGACATTCTCCAGAACTAACTCACGAGTTTTTTTTTTTTGATACATCTTCCGTTTACTCCAGGAAGCTTTTCCAACATCCGGTGGAAGTTCCTTCCAAATTCTTCCAGACAAATGTTTCGGTTTCCTCTCCAGACTTCCCCCGAAGGTTTGTGCTAACTGATACTCGAAGTTTCTTCCGACGTTCATCGGGCATGCCTTTGAAAATTGCTACCGACTTTAGCTAAAACTTGCCGGATTTTCTCCAGAAGTCTTTCTCCGTTTCCCTGGTGTGGTAAATGTTTTCCGACTATTCCTGGAAGTTTTTCCAGGATTTTGCTTGGATGTTTTCGACCAAGTGTTTCCTTCCCGGGACATCCCGGGAAATTCACCAAAAATCACGATTCACGGGAATCTGTTTCTTTTCTTCTAGATTTTTGGATGATAGTCACAAGAAATTTACCCGAGGAGCCAAAACAAACCTTCTAAAGAGAAAGTTTTGATTAACTTCCAGAGCAATCTGGAGAGCTTCTACGGTAAATCGGACGAATGTTCCAGTCGGAAGAATTTTCCGAGGGAAGCCTAAAGAAATTTCCGGAGGAGGCCAGAAAAAACTTTAGGGGAAATTGCTAGACATTCCTATGTGAAGCCAAAAAGACTAATCAAAGAAGTCGGTGCAAACTTCCGGGGATGTCGAATTCCGGGGTAGTTTAGAACGATTGAATAGAAACTTGTAATGCAGTCAAAAAAGCAATTGTGGAAATCAGAAGTACCTGTAGAGGAAACTTCCGGTGAAATCAGATGATAAGTTCTAGGGAAGTTGGAAGAGACTTTTGGGAGAATTCGGATATACAGTGCTGATCGATATAATAGCATGAATTCAACTAAATACTATTCTGGTATCAGGTCTAAAATGTTTCCTAATTCTCAGGAATTCCCGAGAAGAGCCATCAGCTGTTTCCCGTTTCCCGGGAAAAAAGAAATGGCCAGGAAATGGAAACACTACCTGGAAGCTTTGTCCGATGTATTCCTCCAAGAGGGCCACTGCCCCCGTCTCCTGAAGTTTTCCGGACTTCCACTGATCGTTTTTGGTTTTGATTTTCCGCGATAGTTTCTTCCAGCTTCTATCGTGTTTTCCGCTTTACGCAGAAAGATTATTCCACTTGGATATTTCATTCAACTTCTAACTGATATGCTAAACTACCTTGGATCCCGACTTCCTAGTTGGTCGTAAGCGACTTCACCTAAAAATGTCCTCTAAATTCCTCCAGAAGTCTTTCCATCTTTCCCTGGAAGTTTCTTTCGGCCGTTCCTGGAAGTTTCTCCAGACTTTTCTTAGGATGTTTTCCAATATTATTGAAAATAATGTCCGATGCCTTCCAAAAGAGCTTCTGCCTACCGCCTCCGGAAGCTTTTTGGAGTTCCATTTTAATCGTATTATGTCCGAATTCATTTGGAAGTTTATTCCAATTTGCTCCAGAACTATCTCCCTGTTTCCCAAGAATATTTCTATCAACGCCTAACTGACACTGGAAGCTTTTTCAAAGTTGTATCCGACTTCACCTCTTCTTGTCTTCTGAATTCTGGCTTTCCTTGGAGGTGTCTTCCAGCTGTTCCTTGGATGTTTTTCGATATCGCTGATAACTTCTGCCTTCCACCTCTGGAAGTTTTTCGGACTTCTTGGGACGTCGTTTTCCGAGTTTCCCGCGGAAATTCCGGCCAACTTTAATCATATTTTTTCCAATTTCCTCTGCAAAATTATTGCAATTTGCTTCAGGAGTTTCTTCCTGTTTCCCTCGGATATTTCTTTCAACTTCTAACGGACAGTGAAAGTCCTTCCGTCTTTCCCTGGAAGTGTCATCCGGTTGCTCCTAAAAGTTTCTCCAGACCTTCCCTTGGACGTTTTCCAACGCCGCTGTATTTTTTTTTTCGATTTCCACCAAAAGATCTTCTGCCTGGAAGTTTTTCGAACTTCTCTTGGACGTTTTTTTCAACTATTCCCGCTAAAATTCCCTCCCTTTTATCGTATTATTTCCGATTTCATTTGGAATATTATTTCAATTTCCTCCAGAAGTTTCTTTCTGTTTTCGTAGGAAATCAACTTCTAACCGACACTTGAAGTTTTTTCTGAGTTGTAACCGATTTCACCTAAAATTGTCCTCCGAATTCCTGCAGAAGTTCTTCTGACTTTCCTTGAAAGTGTATTCCGGCTGTTCCTGGAAGTTTCTCCAGGCTTTCCCTTGGATTTACTGAAACTTTTACCCGACGTTCATCTGGCATCCTTTGGATCCCAATAACCTATATAGTAAGTTGTAGCCGAACTCACCTATAACTGTCTTCAGATTTCCTCCAACCTGGAAGTGTCTCAGTTTTGTCCGATTTCCTCCAAAAGAAATTTACCTGTCTCCGGAAGTTTTTTGACTTTTCCCGGAACTTAACTTCGAATTCCGGCGAAATGTCTTTCGTCTGGAAGAATATTCCAATTTGCTCCAGAAGTTTCTTCCTGTTTTCCTGGAATATTTTTGTCCGCTTCGCGCAAAAGTTTCTTGCAACATCCTCCGGAAGTTTCCCTCGACTATCCCCGGAACAATAAAGCAAATTTCCCGGAAATAGTTTCCTGTGTAGTTTTTAGCAAACGTTTATTTAGCATGCCGTTAGTAGAAAATTAAAATTGTTTTTTTCCTGGAAAACTGAATAAGCTTCCCGGAAATGTAGAATAGTGATTTTCCAAAAACATAAACAAGATTGTACCATAGAGGTAACTCTAAGACCAGAAGGTTCCGAAGAAACGTGCTCAACTTTTTGGCTCAGCTCTGGTACTATCTTCGGTCACAAGCTAATCGATTCACCCCTAGAAACATAGGAAAATCCACGAACCCCTCATTTTATCTGTCAAACTTTCATAGAGAATCAAAACAAACATAGTGTAGTACTAGAATTTCACCTACAATGGGGTACGTTAATCGATTTGCTTGGGACCAATAGGCTAGTCAAGTAGTGAGCCAATTTCAAATCGATAGTTTCGTATTGATTGTTGATTGTACCGTGCACTTCTAGAATCGCTTCTTGAGAGACCGGAGAGGGCACATGCGGGAGCCGTGAGATGTGCATAAGAAGAGCACAATTAAGCACGCGTGCTGTTTTGTCTTAGCTCCAAAAATAGCGTCCGGAATGACAATTCTTTAACGTCAAACAGGACAGAATGCTGTGTTTTACTCAAACTTCAAAAGTTGAAGAATTTTGAATGTACATATTTGTAATGTGTATTCAAGAGCACACTGCACGTCTCATTCGTTTTGGATATGCAAGCACACAGAGTGCAGAATTGAAGATTTTTTGCTTAAATTGCTACCACCGAAAAGCGTATATCAAAGCTGAAGGCTCATACCCATCAGAACATTATTATCGTTTTCAATTCCAAATGCCATCATTTAGCTTGTCGCTGCCACTCACTTCCCGCACCGGTAAACGAACGTGTCAACCGTGAAAATTCGCATTCATCCGGTGACCTTTCCGCAAAACAACCGCAAAATTTAAACGAAACCCATTAATCAGCCATCAAGTCGTCATAATCATCGCTTTGTTGAGGCGGGCGTGCTAAACCGGAGATTCCAACTGCAACCTCCAGAAAAAAAAATCCTCATCGCATCGCCTCGGTCGGTGGTCGGCTGAACAACAACAACACAACCGATTCGTGCCGTTACGCTCCGTCAGTCCTTGCGGTCGGAAACACGGGTTTCGTTTTAATGACGACCACGACGACGACGACGGTGTTTGCTTTTCGTCTCGCCGGCCGCCCGCAACCAGCCATTGGCAGATCCTTGAAATGGTTAATATCTTTTCACCCCCATAATCCACCACTCTAGCACGTTCTCGACATCGATAAAAGTTCCCGTAGCCGCTTGTTGTTGTTTCTGCTCTAGGTTTTATTGCACAACCTCGTAATCAATAATGTGCGTAATCAAATCACACTTTAGTTAGTTTTCTAAGTAGGTATCGTGCATGAGTTTCTAGGTTAAGTCCCAGGCGGGTGCCTGTTCTAGTATTCTTTCGGTAAGGTGTAAATGTTCTACTTTGGGCTACTAACATTCTAAGCGAGTTTATACATATCTAGCCGTTGACAACGCACATAACAAAAGTACACGAGTGAGAGAAACGTCAATTCTAGCGGCGAAAGTAAACAGATCGAACGAAATCCGGATTAGAAGGCGCGTGAAACCTCTTCAGATCTAAAACCAACCTTGCGTAGCTGTACTGAGAAGCTCAAATCTAGGTAAACAAGCGTGTGCACCCATCTACCTATTGAAAGGGGGGTTTCGATGATCCTCGACTGCCTATAGGCTGTTGGAGGAGCGGAACGTGACCTCGATTTGCACAGCGCGATAGATAACCACAAGTTGCTATTCGAAACCAATCATCTTGTCAAAACGGTCAGGTGGCACACGGGTGACGTCCCCCCGATGGCATTGATTAGTTTTGTTGTTTGTCGATTCGGTAATATCGGGACCGGGTAGGAAATTTTTCACCAGCATTAGAGTGAAGGGCAGTCCGACACACACTGCCTACGGCGACTTGGAAGGAAGCTCCATGTGCGCCTGTCTGCGTAATTAGTTCACTCCGATTGCCGCGGACGGGGGAGATATCTTATCTCCGGGCGCTAGCAGAGCCTTTGTATTAAGTGGTTATTCAATCTAGTACAGAAGTGTCAAGAAGCCCTCGGAGCTTGCGCTATCGCGGTGCGCTGTCGCAAATATAGCGATTCAACGACGTCCAGTACGGTATCAGTCTGCAGCCAGATTTCGTTCGATCTGCATCTTTCGCCAATAATTTCTATTCGCGCGCTCATTCACTCATTTGATTTACGAATCGATTAGATGGAATAACGGCCAGAGTGAACCTGTGCTAATTTAGAATTTCTTTTTCCGTTGCCCAACCAACAGTCAAGACGCAAAATGCCACCAAAGAAGAAAGGAGATAATTTGGATGATCTGAAACAGGAGTTGGACATCGATTTTCATAAAATCACACCAGAAGAACTGTACCAGCGACTACAGACACATCCAGAAAATGTAAGTACTGCCATTTTTATTGGAGAACCTTCGTAACTTTGTGCCTCTTTCCCATTGCAGGGTCTCAGCCATGCGAAAGCAAAGGAGAACCTAGAACGAGATGGACCAAACGCACTTACCCCACCTAAACAGACGCCCGAATGGGTCAAGTTCTGTAAGAATCTCTTCGGTGGCTTCGCTATGCTGCTGTGGATCGGTGCTATCCTATGTTTCGTTGCCTACTCGATCCAGGCCAGTACCGTCGAGGAACCGGCCGACGATAACCTGTACCTCGGTATTGTGCTGTCCGCCGTCGTGATAGTTACCGGTATTTTCTCGTATTATCAGGTACGACTTTCCTTCAACCCCCACAGTCACCAAACCAACTAACCCCTCAATCTCCCAACCGACAGGAATCGAAAAGTTCGAAGATTATGGAATCGTTCAAGAACATGGTGCCCCAGTTCGCTACCGTCCTGCGTGAGGGTGAGAAGCTGACACTGCGCGCCGAAGATCTCGTCATCGGTGACGTCGTTGAGGTCAAGTTTGGCGATAGGATACCGGCCGATGTGCGCGTCATCGAAGCCCGAAACTTCAAGGTATGTTGTTCCTTCCACCCTGCCACTAGTGCCTGAATCCCAACGTGCCGTATCATCTCAGCGCTGAGTTAGTCGTCGGTTGGTGGTTTGCTGGTATCAACATTAATTAAATTTAATTCCTTTGAATTGAGGCTTAATTCAATTCGGAATTGTGAATGTGGAGCACAAAGCAATTGAGTCGTAAAATGGCGAACGAATCGGCGGTCGGACGGGCGCGCTGTGATTCAATCGGATCGCCGCGCCGTCGATTACACAATGTCTGGAAATTGACGTGTCAAGGTTCGGTTCGTTCTTGTTCTTGCCTCTCTCTCTCTCTCTCTCTCTTGCTCTAATAGATTGAAAGTTGAGACTAGTCGCGTAATGTTTTAATTGAACGCCAACGGCGGGTTGAATGATGGATGGAATTTTGCAATCGTCAGCTGTTTTTGAGCTGGGAAGAGAATCGAGACGAACGGAAGGACCGCACTACTGTGCGAATGTTGAAGAGTTGAGCTGGCTGAAGGCTACTGTTCTCACCCTTATCAACGTGCGCCACCGGCTTTCCAGCTCATGCATGACGATAATGACAAACAAGGTTCCTGCTTTGCTCTGAAATTGAATCCCGTGTGCTCGTCAAATCGACAAAGCCAACCGACTAGCGAACCAGCGTTTATAGGCATCTCATATCTCCGTTAGTGTTTGTGTGTTCGAGCGGTCCCAACTATTAACAACGACTGCGGAAGTCGTATAACAGTGGAGACAGATTAAGTCGAAATCAGTATGATACCCATCGCATTCGCATCGTGTGGACTTCAAATTCCCGACTGTTTTTTGAATTGTGCGATAGCTGAAATTAAATCCGATAAAATTGTAAGGCCCATCAAATCGTATAAGAGCAGTTCCATGCCAAATGACGAATCGATCAGCTTGGACCTTCTCCGAAACTTTGAATAATGGATCATGTAGGTAATTCGAGCAGGTTAAAATTACGTTTAACACCACTCGAACTTTATCATGGAGCAATGTTTAGAAAAAAAAGTCTTCCAGAATTTTGAGAAAATAAGGTTTTATTTATAATAGACCTAAAAACTTCGGAATTTATTGCCTAATTTTCATAGAATAACGGTAGAAGAACTTCCAAAAACTGTCCGACTATATGGTTATGGGCAAATTTTTAAACTTTTTGTTGTTAGTACAGTCCACAGTCTATGTCCATCTCGTATGACATGATCAAGTACGATACCTGGTTGTTTTCAATTTACCATTGAATGAAGGTCCAAAAACGGAGGGTGGACCCGTAAGCAGCGACACTTACGCGTTAATTCGTGTTTCAAACATGATCAAATCTGGTGCAAAATAGTGCTCGAATAATGAAACTGCAACTCAGCATTGCGAGAGGTGCGTTTCTGTTTTAGTTTCAGCATTGCGAACGGCCTAAGGTCTTAAATTGTTATCCGGTTTGATTTGTAATACAGTACGATTAAAAAATGATTGATCGCTTATAAGCCGGAAATTTGCATTCTATACGATTTAACTTAAACTATGCCGCGATGGTGATTTAATGTATGTTGCGATGTTGTAGCAATTTACGATACTGTCTGTACATTGTTATACGACTTCTGGTTATCTGGGAAGTCAGTGTGTCATTTTGGATTCGTGTTCTTGGTGTCTAAAAACGACCATGCAATTGCTCCGTGCTTCTTACAGCATGTCAATTTTATGATAACGGTTTGCCAGGAATATGTCCATTACAGATGTAATTGTAGAAGATCAAGAGCTTAATAACAGCTTATTCAGCTACTGATAAGCTTATTTAGTCTATGATCTGTCGAAGAGCAGTGTCCTCCTCGAACCCCATGAAACTTCGCATTATTGTTCACTAAGGGTATTGAACCAAGTTTGGGCCGGAATTCGGCCATTTTAACTCACGCTTAATTTTTCAAAATGGCGTGTTCGATATTTTTTTCAATAAATCATAGTTTTTAAACATTTTTTAAACATTTTAAAGTTTTTAGCAGTTATTTAAAAAAAAGGGTCGAAAATTTGTGATTTTTTCAGCGTCTACTTTTTTTTCTTAAAAAGCAATCAAGTTTCCTACAACTTTGTCCCAGATTACATTTCGATTAGATGAGCCGTTTTCGTGCTAAAATTTATTGAAAAACATCGAATACGCCATGTATGAGCATGAGCATGATTGACCGCCCACGGTTGCTACTCTGTTGTTGCCAGATCAGCTGTAATTACACAGAGAATCAATAGACGACGCTTGGGGCTAGAATTCATCCTCAATGTGTAAAAACTGATGATCTCAAACTAGGCAATACCAGCGCCGGCCGCACCCGAATGCAGGTCAAGAAAGGAATGGGTAGGAATGTGTTAACGTGACACTCACTTTGATGGAAGCCGAGGAGTCCTCTGCACTTCCATGAGGAATCACAGGGATGTTGGGTAAGAGGGTTGGGTTTGCAGCAGGGTTCGTTTTGGTAAACGATAAGCTGAATTGATGTCCTAACGATCGTATAACGCGAAGGAGCTTGGGATTGAACCCACGGTAATCTGCTCAGTAAGCAAAAACGTTTGCTACTAGGCAAACGAGCTCCTTTTCAATCATCGAGTTGCTGTTATTACCATGTAGTCATATTAACAAATAAAACGATTGACGAATCTTGATGTGGATGGGCTTGAGATTAGACTCAGGATGTTCTGCTCAGAAAGCAAAAACAGTCGCTCTAAGTCCACCGAGCCCCTCATATCACATCACACCATTACACGATAAACAAGCGATTCGATTAGGCGTGAGTCATAAAGACCGAATTTCAGCACAAACATGGTTCGTTGCCCTTAGCGAACAATTACGCGAAGCTTAGACAAATTTTAAAATTTGTTTATTTTTTTCGCAATTTGGCTAGGAACTGCTCAAATTAAAATGTTTGTCATTTGTCGCCTAAAGTTCAAAGCTAACCGCATATATTATAAATTCGAACAAAAATCGATTACAATCTCACTTATCAATCTGAAAACTAGCTTATTCACGTATTGCAAGACTTTATTAGCCTTGATCTGGGGCGAGTAAACTACTACTGCACTACTTGTCAAATCCCTACTGGAAAAGTCAGTCAGTTTGGGAATCCCGACAAATTCATACCGAGAAACTGTGCATTTGGACAAATTCCTGGCGAAAATTCCGACAATTATTTGCCAGGAATGCGGACAGATTCGAAAGCGGAATTCGGACAAATACTAAACGGGAAATCAATCAAAATTCCTTCCGAAAAAGCAGACAGTTTCCTCACCGACAAACCGACATGCAACTTAATTTTAACTTTTGTTCGAACATCTATAACGGCTGATTCAAATGTGCAGCTATCCGATCTGTCTAAACAATAGGATTTTCTTTATGTACTCGGTCGATCAGACCGACTTGAAATTGAGTCGAGTTGACTGAATTTGGTCTGAAGTGGATTTACTCAAAAGGTAAATTTTCCGGGAAAAAAGCTGTGGAAAATCAGGAAGCACTTCCCGATTACTAGGAAAATCCATTAAAATTTTACACAGTCTAAGAGTATACGAATGAACTGAGTGAAACCTCTATCGATTTTCCTCATGTTTGAGAAGTTTTCACGGGCAAAGCCCGGAAAATTCAACTCTCTTTTAACGAAATTATGTCGACTCTACTCAATGTTTGAAGTAATCCCTTAAGGCAAGTACAGTTGATTGATAAGCTCTTGAGAGCTAACACATCAATCTTCTATAGTAATCAAGAGGTTGAAGATAACCAATAAGATCTCTCATGTTTGACAAGTTGATAACATATACGACTTGATATGTAATAACAAATTTAGTTTAACAAGTATTGCGACTTCATCTGATCTAATTTATACTCTTGCACGATGCAAAAAATGGTAGATCGTATAACGGTCAACATGTTGCGTTATATACGATGAAACTTAAACATTATGCGACCAAATCCATTCTTATATGCGATTTGGACATAATCTCTAGTACTTTATGATTCTATTGTGCATTGTTACACGGCCTCTGGTTGTCTAAGAAGGCCTCCGAAGTTGATTAATAATACCGCTGGGATCATCCCGATCTATCTGAATTTGATTTCTTTGAAGTGGTTCGCCCAAGACCCCTAGACATCACCGGTAATGTGTCTAAAGTTGAGCCATACCCAAGTAACCACAGGCACGTTATTTTGCCTTTTTGGTTATATACGGGCCTGATCAGAACTTACAAACACTGGTATAGCTGTTGACGATGACCCATAAGGGCAGTGAAGGTGTTTTATAAGCTCACGAGAGTTAACTCATCAATCTTCTGTAGTAATCAAGAGGTTGAAGTTAGCCAATAAGATATCTCATGTTGAGCTGAAGGCCTCCGAAGTTGAGCAATAAGACCAACTGGGATCATCCCGTTGGACCATTGGGGAGATTATTCATAAGACTTCGGTTGACACTACAAGGCCTCTGAAGCTGCAGCATACAAGGCCACTGTATTCAACCCAAGAATTCTCTGAGCAACCTTAATTGTATTCATAAGTACTTTGATAATTAGGGCCCCTAGAAATCGCTGGCAATGCGTCTTTAGTTGACCAATAAGAACTTAACCCATAATACCTCCAAAGTCAACCCATAAGCAATCCTAAGTTAACCCATAGAAGCTCTGAAGCTTACTCATAAGGCCTCAATGGATGATAATTTCTCCGAAGTTGACCCAAAAAAGTAATCCCTCAAGGCCTCTACCGTTTACTGATAAGCTCTTGAGAGCTAACACATCAATGTTCTATAGTAATCAAGAGCATTGGCGTAGCTAATGGCCAGGCCCCCTCCAGAACTATCTAGGCCCCCTCCAGAATTATCTAGGTCTCCCTCCAGAATTATCTAGGTCCCCTCCAGAATTATCTAGGCCCCTCCAGAAAAATTTTCTAGCAACGCCAATGATCAAGAGGTTGAAGATAACCAACAAGATCTCTCATGTTGAGCGAGCTTAAGTCCTCCAAAGTTGAGCAATAAGATCAACTGGGATCATCCTGTTGGACCATTGGGGAGATTATTCATTAGACTTCGATTGATAATACAAGGCCTCTGTATTTAAACCAAAAATTATGGGAGCTACCTTAAATTTATTCATAAGTACTCTCGTCCTTAAGATCACTAGAAATCGCCGAAAATGTGTCTACAGTTGAGCCATAAGACCTCTAGACCTAACCCGTATGACATCCAAAGTAAACCCATAAGCAGTCCTAAGTTAACCAATAGAAGCTCTGAATCTTACTCTTGAGGCCTCGTTGAAAAATGATCCCTCTTTATTAACCCCCAAGACTTCTGAACCTAACCCATAAAGCCTCCGAAGTTGACCCAAAAAAAATGTTTTGAAGTAATCCCTTAAGGCCTCTACAGTTGACTGATAAGCTCTTGAGAGCTAACTCATCAACCTTCTGGAGTTATCTCGTAAGGCCTCCCGGAGGCTATAAGTCATAAATTCTCTGAAGTAAAACATAACGCCTTTAATGTTAACTAATAAGACCACTACGCTCAACCCGCAAGACCTTTGATCTTTGAACCCGTAAGATGTACCTAAAGTCGAACTATAAGACCTCTAGACTCAACCTGTAAGGACTCCAAAGGTAACCCATAAGCCATCCTAAGTTGACTCATCATTAGTCATAAGGCCTCTATGAAATATGATTTCTCTTCATTAACCTTCAAGATTGTTGAACTTAGCCCATAAATCCTCTGAAGTTGATCCAAAAATGGTCTGGAGTATCCCGGAATGCCTTCCGGAGGTTGTTGTTATCCCATAAAATAACTGAAGTTGAGTTGAGGCCTCTCGGTTCAACCCTTAGAATCTTCGGAGACATTCCATACGACTTCCATTGCTACAACATGGTCTCCGGGTGGACCGGAATAGATTTAGACTAACGGTGGAGTTGCTCCAACCATAAGTCCGCATAAGGCATCTCTAGACTTGGTGCGTAAAATCTGAGGCCACCGTAGTTGACGTGGAAGATCTTAGAAATAGCAATAGTAGAGGACTTCTTACATAAACTCAAAAATGCCTGGGATAGGTCCAGACGAGTTCGAGTTGTGATAATCGAGTGAAATTCTAGAGACCTTTAAACTGATAAGCTTGGAAAACCCCCTAAAAACGGTGGAAACATCCAGCGGAAGCCCAAAGATTCGTGAGATCTTGTCCAGAATTCCCTAAAATAAGCTTGCAATCATGGGCCTCAGTTATGGCAAGATATTTTACCAAGGCATAGGCGGTGGATTCAAATCCCGGTCCTCTCTGGAAAATCTTCCGGGTTCGAAATTTTACCGACCCCTCTCTTGATTGATAACTTGGGAACTGCTTAAAGGAACAGTAAGTTGAGAGCAGACACATGCTCGTATAAGAACTTAGTCTACAAAATTCATACGCCAACTTCTATTGGCAGCTTATCAAGTCATGGGCAGGTCATCAAGTATGAGCCTAGAGAGCGCCATGGCCAAGTCCATAACTTCAAACGTTCGGATGGCCCATCTCAACTCAAAGAATGCTAAAGTAGATACGACTCCTGTGGTCCTCCATCGGAAACCCCAATAAAAATCTAAGGTATGCCAAGAAGACTACGAACCAAATTTCAATGGACCTAAATGATCAATCCAAACGACCTCAAGTCCAGAGGGCGTCTAGCCAAAATCTTCCAAGTCCACCGCAGGCTATGGATAGTTTATAGGTCATCCATGACAAGCTATAAACACCGCAAACACCAAGTTCAAATTACATCAGTTTTCAAAGGATTTCAAGGTCGGTGGCCTGAGGAAGCCTCCAGTGAGCAACGAGAGCGAGTCCGGTAGATTTTAAGGTAAAAGCTGTAGCCAAGTGCTGATGAAAAAAGGTCCATTCAGTGATCTCCAATAAATGCATGAGAGCCTCCACAAGTAATCTGAACCTGCCTGTGAAGTCCCTCTAACATCGAATGTCGTCCCTTGGGTCTGTCCTGTCGGGAGATCATCGGATATGTTCTTGAAAATTTTCGAACTGGCTTTGGATGCTTCCGAACTTACCTTCCATTCTAATTGGATTGCCTGTCAATGTTTTATCACTCTGTTCCTAAATTTCGATCGTTTTGAGTTTGCCCTTAAAATCTTCAGAACACGGAAAACAGATTGCTCCAGAAGACCCCAACCCATCCCATCTACCTTCCCAAAATTCACCAGCCTTGGAAACCTCTGAACTTGTAATTCATGTGCTTTGGTTTTGTCATCAACGTTTTCAGGACCGGGAATATTTTGAGTAATTCCTCGGTCCTGCCACTGTAAACTACCTTAAAGTCTTGAGGTAGGACCTCCGGACATGTGCCTCCAATATCCTTCAGTAGACCCACCCTCTACGTCCTGCAGACTTCCTGGAAGTTCAGTGCATCTTCTTTTGGTTGAGTCAAAAATACTTCTAGTTGCTCTACTCCCTGTTAGGGGCATCTAAGTGCAGGGATAGAGAACCGCTCTATTCATAATTCCGATTAAGTCTTGATCAGATAAACAACCGTTTTACGGAAAGTGAGCTACTCAGCACCCTCAGTTTGAAACCGGAAAACGCATCTAAAATTCACTGTCTGACTCGAACGAAACCGTTTTGGCACCGCTCAACAAACCTACCTAGTCATCGTTACACATAGTCATCCAAGTTTAATTTATGGCCCCCTCATCCATCACTCCTCTGTGCGGAAGTGCTGAACTCATTAGCAACAAACACGATAATAGCCTTTTGCTTTGATATGTGCGAATACCATCTAACAATTTCCGTTTTTTATCTCTTTCACAGGTCGACAACTCGTCGCTGACCGGAGAATCGGAACCGCAGTCCCGTGGACCGGATTTCACCCATGAAAACCCGCTGGAAACCAAGAATCTGGCCTTCTTCTCGACCAACGCCGTCGAAGGTACTGCCAAGGGTGTCGTCATCAGCTGCGGAGATCACACCGTAATGGGTCGTATTGCCGGTCTCGCCTCCGGTCTGGACACCGGTGAGACTCCAATCGCCAAGGAAATTCACCATTTCATCCATCTGATTACCGGCGTCGCTGTGTTCCTCGGTGTTACCTTCTTCGTCATTGCCTTCATCCTCGGCTATCACTGGCTGGACGCTGTCATCTTCCTGATCGGTATCATCGTCGCCAACGTCCCGGAAGGTCTGCTGGCCACCGTCACCGTATGTTTGACCCTCACTGCCAAGCGTATGGCCTCGAAGAACTGTTTGGTCAAGAATCTGGAAGCCGTCGAAACTCTCGGCTCGACCTCGACCATCTGCTCGGATAAGACCGGTACCCTGACCCAGAACCGTATGACCGTTGCTCACATGTGGTTCGACAATCAAATCATCGAAGCCGACACCACTGAGGACCAGAGTGGTGTTCAGTACGATCGCACCAGCCCCGGATTCAAGGCTCTGTCCCGCATCGCTACCCTGTGCAACCGCGCCGAATTCAAGGGAGGTCAGGATGGTGTCCCAATTCTGAAGAAGGAAGTCAGCGGTGATGCTTCTGAAGCTGCTCTGCTCAAGTGTATGGAACTGGCTCTCGGAGATGTCCTGAGCATTCGTAAGCGCAACAAGAAGGCTGCCGAAATTCCATTCAACTCGACCAACAAGTACCAGGTTTCCATCCACGAAACTGAAGACGCCAGCGATCCACGCTACCTGCTCGTCATGAAGGGTGCCCCCGAACGAATCCTGGAACGCTGCTCGACCATCTTCATCAACGGCAAGGAAAAGATGATGGACGAAGAGATGAAGGAAGCCTTCAACAATGCCTACCTGGAACTCGGAGGTCTCGGTGAACGTGTGCTCGGATTCTGCGACTTCATGCTGCCATCGGACAAATTCCCCGCCGGATTCAAGTTCAACTCGGAAGAAGTCAACTTTCCCTGTGAAAACCTGCGCTTCGTCGGCCTCATGTCCATGATTGACCCTCCCCGTGCCGCTGTCCCGGATGCTGTTGCCAAGTGCCGCTCCGCCGGTATCAAAGTAATCATGGTTACCGGTGATCACCCGATCACTGCCAAGGCCATTGCCAAATCGGTCGGTATTATCTCGGAGGGCAACGAAACCGTCGAAGACATTGCCCAGCGTCTAAATATCCCGGTTTCGGAGGTTAATCCACGTGAGGCTAAGGCCGCCGTTGTGCATGGTTCAGAGCTGCGTGATCTCTCTTCGGACCAGATAGATGAAATCCTGCGCTACCACACGGAGATTGTGTTTGCCCGTACCTCGCCCCAGCAGAAGCTGATCATCGTCGAAGGTTGCCAACGGATGGGTGCCATCGTAGCTGTCACCGGTGATGGTGTCAACGATTCGCCTGCCCTGAAGAAGGCCGACATCGGTGTTGCTATGGGTATCGCCGGGTCCGATGTGTCCAAGCAGGTGAGTCTCGTCGTCTCTGTGTGTCGTTACTTGTGTGACTATTATGAGTTCTGACACAGAGCAGTAGCTACTAACTCTAACCAACCTCTTCCGGGGTTCCGTGGTCCATTCTCCGGATGTCTTATGCCCGAATACGGTCATCCCAGCTATGGGCGTTGATTGGCAAGCTGACCGAATCGGGCTAAACTCTAAACTCTCATGCATCAATTGAGAAGCACCTGTTCGTTCTTTTGGGGCGATGATCTGTGGAGGTGCAAGTGGCTCCTTGTACTGAGCCTCCACAGTGACAATTGGTTCGTAACATCAGACGAAATTCCCTGACAATTTATTTCAAATCATCCGAATGTTTCAGTATTCGGGTATTTCATGAACTTGGGCAGTTCCAAACGTTCGAGATTGTTCCACGGTTCCGATCCCTATGTTACAACCCTCTAACTTCCCCCTCAATTTAAACATCAGCACCTTGAACAAATACGCACCACATTCACTAGGAAAACAAATATCATCATCACTTTACTTTTACTGTAAATATAGGTACACTCTAAACAACAGGATCTCCATCTCTCTGCCTACATGGAAAACATCCCTCCAACTGACAATTTCCCGTCTCTCACACTCTGAACCTTTCCAAGGATCAGGGACCACTACTAACACATAACCTAAATGTTGTGCTATCGAATTGAGTGTGTGTGTGTGTGTGAATCCGGATTGTCCGTGTACGTCCCGCCCTCGCGGGACCTGCGGTCAATCCATTTGCCGTTCCATTGACTTACTCTGTTTCCCCCCTTTTGTTCTTTCATCGACATGTTCACAGGCCGCCGACATGATCCTGCTCGATGACAACTTTGCTTCGATCGTTACCGGCGTTGAGGAGGGTCGTCTGATTTTCGACAATCTGAAGAAGTCGATCGCATACACGCTGACATCCAACATTCCGGAGATCTCGCCCTTCTTGGCGTTCATTCTGTGCGACATTCCGCTCCCGCTCGGTACCGTCACCATTCTGTGCATCGATCTGGGAACTGACATGGTAAGTCCAGCGCGAACCGCATCCCTCGATGATGATCGTGTATCACTTTTATCCGTCTGTCTTTCTTCATCAAACAAACGAACGAAAAAAAAAAAAACCAAATGAAACTTGAAATGATTTGCTCGAAATGAGTTCTCCCTTCTTGAGTGAGGAACTTGCATTGAGTCAAGGTGAAAATAGCAGGTTTGCGTCAGGGTTTGATTGAATCCATCGGAAATCAAACGCGGCAGATAGAACGACTACAAGTAATTAGCGATTTTCTGCGGTACTAATCGAAGGTTTTCTTTTTCTTGAACAACATCAAATTTAAAACTTGGTTTGATTGAAAACATGAACCACATGTATCGGTGTTTCTGGTTAGGTCCCAGCCATTTCCCTCGCGTACGAAGAATCTGAGTCGGATATCATGAAACGTCGTCCGCGCAACCCCTACCAGGACAAGCTGGTCAACGAGAGGTACCGTTTTCTGCGTGAGACCCACGCTGGCCAGTCGCTCTGTATCTCTCTCTCTCTTTCTTTAACTTGTTTATTCTATTTTGAACTCTCTCTCTCTCTCTATTTTCGTATTTAATGGTTATTTTTTGTCATATTTAAGTACAAACAGTATATCTAGCTTGATTAATGAATTTGGAAACTATTGGCACATATTCGATGCTCACGCCAGATTTAAATCAGAATCAAAATTTGCTAGATTATTATCTTACGCTCTCCGAACAACACTGGACTCTTACTCTTATTTGAAGTTCCACTCGCTCCCTCAGATAGTCGCTCTCGCTAGAATGGCGAGTGCCGAACCGAAATCGATCGCTTGTAGTAGAACACAATTTGTTATTTTGCTCTCTCTCTCTCTCAGTCAGTAGCACATTTTTTACTGTTTTCACTTAGTAATTCTTCACCTATTCATATAAATTGAAAATGACTTCCTTAAATCGAACTTCAGGTATGTGCGCGATCGAACCCATCCCATAGAGTTTAGTTTAGCAAATTTTACAACTTTCGTTCTGTTCTAATTTTTCACATTTTTATTTTTCCACAACTCCATTTTTTTTTGGTTTGGTTCAAAAATGTCCCCAACGAAACGGTAAACCCCAATTAGGTACCCGCCATTTCGCTGGCCTACGAGCACGCTGAGTCCGACATCATGAAGCGACCGCCTCGCGATCCATTCAATGACAAACTCGTGAACGAAAGGTTTTTATTCGTTTCAGCTGTTCATTAAACCCCCCGCCCCGTTCCAAAAATAAACAAAAAATCCCTGGTTATTCTCTAACTCTAACAAATAGGAATGTTTTAGTGCAGTGTTCCAACGTGCGCATTGGCAGAATTAACAAATTTTGTTCCCATTTCGGAATCGCGTAAATCAAAAGCTGCATGCACTAATGCGCCTGAATGCATTCGAAACAAATGGGTGCCGAATGTGTCATATTTTTTTAACTAACCTCTCCCGCATCTGTGTACAAAAGAAAATGTGCAAAATTGCCTTCTAACCTAACAATTTGTGGGAAGATATTTTGCTCGCGATGCTACCAAAATAAAATATATACACTCACAGTCACACACAGACACAAACCGAAACACTCAAGCCGTTCCCTCCTTATGTACCTCTCAGTGATGAAAGCATAAATCAGTTCTTAAAAATCTACATCAACTCCTGCACCTTTTTTCCGTTGCTTCAAACCGATATGTTTTTAGTTCCGTTATTCACCTGCTCATTTATCAGCTTTTTGGAACCACCCTACCCGCCGCCAGGGCTGGGTGGCCTACGGAAACCATCGGTGTCAGCTGAAGTGTGTTAGAAACTCACAAGTGCTTCGTTTTTGTCCTCGTTTTGTTTTTCAATCTCTGTTAGAATACAAACTTAATCATTTGCTGTCGATGTGCAAAAATCATAGTGAAAAATCATTTTCATTGAATCGATAGAACTCTCCTTCCCGACAAAACAAAAATAATCATAACCTCATCGAAGAAAATTAGCAACGAGAAATATTCCCATATTTGGCGTCATGAAATCCAAAAGAAATCAACTAAAAAAATTACACACCACTACTACTCCTCCCATACATACAGGTCCCTGCCATTTCGCTAGCCTATGAGGAAGCCGAGTCCGATATCATGAAACGTCAACCACGAAATCCGTTCACTGATAAATTGGTCAATGAAAGGTAAAAACCAAGAAGCCCCCACCAGCAAAAAAAAAATCCAAAATTTAAAAAAAAAATGGAAATGGTCTATTCTAAAAACAAATTACGATAATTTTCAATTAGCTGGGTTCTTTTACTTAACAAATTATGTTCCTATGATTAGCAAAATTTGTATCTAATTGGCATATTCTTTGACGGAGTGAGTGAGTTTCCATGGCTGATCGAAAAAAAAGAAGAAGAAGAAGAAGGGAAACTCACTCACTCGTGTCCCGTAAAGCAACAACTGTTCAATTCGGCTATCTTTGGTTTCCTTTAAACTTTTTTATCGGTATCTAATCTCCAATTGGCTAACATTGTTTATCATTCGTATCACTTTTCCTTCGGTTCCTATTAGTTTTCATCCTATTTTCTAGATTAGTCGGTGTGTGGATCCTTCTCTGTCTCTTACCCCCACTTGCCGTAGCTTGGTGGGTGCTCGATTCTAGATGGCGTTGTGTTTTTTTTGGTCTATTTGGTAGAGTAGTTTTGCACTGCCATCTGCGATCGAGCACTCAGTTTCTTTCTCTCTCTCTCTTTCGCCCGGCCTCTTCCTTTCTCGAAGAGGTTGTTCTCCACTATCAGTGTTGTGTGTGTAACATTTTGGTGAGGAAACTTTTATACTTTTAGTTCACTTTCAAATCTTGATTGCATTCATCTGTTCCCTTTTCCTTCGCTCGCTCATCTGTCATCTATATCAAAAGTAGCTTCCAATCGAACGCACCATCCTTTTCTTCCAAAATCAGATATTGTCCGCACTTGTACGTGTATGTGCGTGTGCGTGTGTGTGTGCGTCTACGTCATCCACATTCGTTCCCATTCTCATGCGATATCTAAATATTATCAAAAATACGTAAGGTAAGTCCCAATGGTCACCCTCATCTGCCTCCATCTCTTTTTTTGTTGATCTCATGCACACCTCCATAGAAAATCTTGCTCCCCCAATTCTCCCAATGAAACACCCTCCCACCAATTGACACTTACAAAAATGGCATTCTCAAGCGGAGCGATCAATAATGAACAACATCGAAATACACCTACACTGAGAAAAAAAAAAACTCGTCTATTACCTCCTCGGTTGTGTGGCAATCTAGCTAATCTAATATTTTGCTTTTGTGAGGTTAGAATAGTTTTTCTCTTGTTTACACTTGTTTATGCTGGGCGGATTTACCCGCCTCGGAATGCTAGAATAGACTCAACTGAAGCAACTCTTACTGCAAGTCAATAACAATCTGATAGATAGCGCGTGTATGCTCTCCCATCTGGTTAACACCACCCATCTCTAGTACTTCATTCTACTCTTAAGCGAAAAAACCTGCCAGAAAATCTATTAGCACACTGCTCTCACGGGCAAAATCTATCAAGTTCGGAGTCAAAGCAAGCTGGACAGAACTATCTATATTCTTTTTACCTACCACCGTTTCCGTCGATTGCTACCGTAGCAACCGCAAAACTGAACAAAACGAACGTACTGCTGCTGTAGTAGATTAACATTGGAACGACAATCATTCTACTATTTCTTTCTTTCTTTCTCGATTGTTTTTTCACGTTTAAACTTTCGGTACGTCTTCTGCTACCTACTCTACTACCACTCCATCATCACTCTTCACCGACTGTCAACTACTACAATCTACTACTGCCTTATATACCACTCAACTACAACTCGAAACCACAAAAAAAAAAATAACAAACAACTAACCAACTGTCTCGCGCTGCGTTGACCATTCTACTACTACCACCACCACCACCACCACTACTACTACTACTACGCAACCGCTGCCGTCAACAACCATCCGACCGCCAGGTACCGGCCATTTCTCTTGCCTACGAAGCCGCCGAGAGCGACATTATGAAGCGCCGCCCGAGAGATCCGTACCGTGACAATCTGGTCAACCGCAGGTCAGGACTCCAAATACCAAACTGACAAAAAAAAAGTCATTTGAAAAGCAATAAGTTTACCACATGTCAAGTCCTTTGTTTATTATGCCAATTCAAAGCAACAAAGTCGCAATGTTTTTGTCTGTTTTTGTTTACGTTCGTTACCGTCAGGTTTTGTCCTCTTGGTTTCCTTCTGTTTGTTACTGTCAACACTTCGACACAAAATTGTATAATCTACATACGTCTTCCACACCTATAACTATCTCTCTCTCTCTCTCTCTCGCTGTTGAATCAAATTTCGAACGTTTTTATGTTTGTTGGTTACTTATATCTGTCAATCGGAATTTGAAATGTTTGTATTTTCATTTTGTCCTCGTCGTCTGTTTGTTTTCGTTTACCGTATTTGTGCAACGTATTTTCAACCGAAGTACGAAATCCGGGTGCAGGAATCCACGGCAGACAGAGAGCGCAGTCATCGATCTTCACACACACACACATCCCGCGTGCTAATCTAGTACTTCACTGTTAGATCCAAAAACCTTCGGTCAACCGTTCCCTTTTCGTGTGTGTGTGTATGTATTCCTACACGATTTCCTTTTGCCTCACGCGAATGACAGAGTACTAGAATGTTACTCTTCCCCTCGAGTAAAATCTGAATTCACACGCGCAGTACTAGAACTTAGTGTGTTATTCGTTTCCTGTCTCTATCACTCTTACTCTCTGTCTCTTTTCTCGATTTTCCTTTTGTTCTTCTCCGGTTTTTTCTTTGGTCAGAAATTTAGAACAGCTTGAGAGTTCTAATTCGTGATTTTGTTTTGTTTAGTCATGGAAGATAGTTTTTTTTTTGTTTTAGGTGTTTTTATTAACTTAGTAATTAGACAGAATGTTCGAAAATGGCATATTAACTCACTTTATCTTTTTGTTTTGGGTAGCAAAATGACACAGAAACAGACAACCTGTTTAACTTTTCGTTGATTTCGCTTTAGATGTTTTCAGTTTCTAGTTGATTTCTTAGTGAAATAGAGTTTATGATGTGTAGATCAATGTTAGTTCGTTCCAGTTCCAACTTGGTCCTTTAGATGTTGAACAATAGTTATTTTGGGTGAGCACGTACCTCACAGAAAACCCCGTTCCATTTAGTGTGTTTGCTTATACCTAGCTGTTGTACTAGATCCTACACAGTTCTCTTGATAAACAAACATCAAACAACACAAGAATAACGTACTAGAATATACACCGAACAAAACAAACACCAGTGCCAGTGGATGATTGACATACACAACCCAAAGAAATGTTTACACCACGGTTGAACAAATTTGCCATACGTTCTAAATGTTGTCATTCTCCAACTTGCCATCGAACATAGCGCCATTTGTCTAGAACACAGACATGTACGAGCAATACTCATCCGCTTTCCAGTGCGCTTCTCGCTTTCCAAACCTTTCCAACAAACCCCCTTTCTTCTAACCGACCCCCCCCCCTTCCCCACTTAATCACATCTGTCACCTCAGGACAGGCATCATTGTTGTTTATTTTCGAATGCCCCCTTCTCTCCCCTCGCGGTTTGACCCTGTGTCCAAACCGACGTGCGTTTGACATTAATTGTCCAACTGTCAGCAAAGTGAGTATACCCCCAAATTGAGTGATTTTTCTCGTTTCCTCTCTTTCCTTTCCGTTTCTTTGCCATTCTTTTCCAGTCTTCTTTGATTGAACGTTTTCTCCTTCCTTATACTTCTATAAACTACGCTCTATACGCTTTAGTTCGCTCGGTCTCCTTCACATTTCATCATTCTTTTCTCTTTCCTACGACTACGGTAATCTCTTCGGGAGATTCGCTACCCACCTAGCTACATACATACGCATAGTAAGAAAAAAAACGAAGAATCGCTGAGATTTGCATGCGAATTGCTTGCCCTCCATACACTGAAACATATACTCCAATCTTAAACCGTATAAACAAACGCTTCTGCATGTTTTATGTAAAATTGTAAATGTTTCGCTTCACTAACATTCGCAAATGCTGGGGAAATCTACACTGCTACAGCTGGCACATTTTTCCCGAGCATTCTGCGACCTGTATCGTAAATCGCTTCTATTTTAGAACTAATTTAATTTTTAAGTACTCTTTGGTTATGGTCTAATATTAAGTCTTACTAACTTCCTCTTTGCCTTTAAAAAAAAAACAAGTAATCTCATCAAGCTGACAGTCACCCAAGAACGAGAAAACTGAAGCACCTAGATTGCGGAGTGCTCCACTCCCTGGTTGGCTGTCACCTTGCTTGATCCTTGACCTGCTCCTGCCTAGCTCGTCAATCGGGACAACCTTAACTCACATTCTCTTTTTCCCTCCCCCCCCGAAATCCGAACTCCATCCCAACAGACTTATCTCGATGGCCTACGGTCAGATCGGTATGATCCAGGCTGCCGCCGGTTTCTTCGTCTACTTTGTCATCATGGCCGAGAACGGATTCTTGCCGCTGCACCTGTTCGGTCTCCGCAAGGGATGGGACTCGAAGGCCGTCAACGATCTGACTGATTCCTACGGACAGGAATGGGTGAGTAATTGATTTTTGTTTTATTTTTTGGGGTAGATGCACCAGTCATGGCTAGTTCCAATTAGAGTATTCCATAAGCCATAACTGGAACACACCATAATAGGAACGTATAGCCATAACTGATTTAGCTACCCTATCATTGTGTGCGAATTTTACTCCGACGAATAGCCATAACAAGGATAAGAGACGATTTTGTGTTTAACCGAAGACAATATATCAAGAAGACTGGCAACTTTGCCTGAATCTGAGCGACAGACACAGTAGCGCTGCGCCCGAGCGAAGGTGGAAGCAACGCATAGAAAAATGAGCAAAAACACTAACCTTTCTTCTGAGGATGGAACCTTTGCTATCCAATTCGTTCGGAGCATTTACCTTTGAGCGGCAGATGACGCGATTGTGCCTGTCTCTTACCGATCGTTTGATGTGTTGATGTGTTCTCTCGGGTTTAACACTATTTTCTGATAAGATGTTTTGTAATGTTACCAAGCAGCTATTAGCCACTTTACCTAGAATATTCGAAAATTTTTATGAGCAATAGTATGAAAAATTTATGAAGAAGTTCAAGAAACATCCATGAAAGAATTATCCAAAAAACGAGTTACTGTCCCTATTTTAGACCTGTAATTCCCTTATTTGGAAACTACTTGCCTAGGTGGTACCGAAGACTACAAATCAAGAAGACTGGCAAGTGTTCCCTTCTCCCATACAAATGCCAAACGTCACTGATAACAGCGCCTCTGTCAATCAAAGGTGGAACTTTGAAGCACAAGTGTTAGTGAAACTGCTCATAAACAGTGACTGTGTGTGTGTGTGTGTGACCTAATGTCACTGAAACGAATAATCATAACACGGTACTCGTTGTTGTTTTTGTTTTGCTCTACAAAATTTCACGGCAATTTGTATGCTAATCACAGTAAGCTGGTGGTTTTCCTACTCCAAACCGAAAAACTTGTCATGGTGGATCAAGTAGAGGATTGAAACTCGGATCGATGCCTAGTGAAAGTAACTTTTACTTGTGTATGATGAACCGAAATATTGTTTACTGTGCCTGTTGGAAGCAATCAATTATAAGGAATTGGCGGCTTCCACCTCCGTTGAGTGAACTACCGTCATTCGGAAGCTGCTGAAAATTCAAGGATCCAAAAAGAAGAAAGCAAGCTTAACTATTCAAATCGACGTATCTGATTTTGTAAACAATCACTTCAATCGACGATTTGAAATTAACAACACCAGCTTGTAGGGGATAGATTCCCCTACCTGTTGATGGTGTTTGTTTGCGTGGATGAGTTAGCAGTTAAGACAAACCGTCGATTGAAGTGATTGTTTACAAAAGCAGATACGTTGATTTGAATATTTACGCTTGAAAGATCCGGTACCTACATCACGATTCAACAGAAGGCGTAGCAGAATCTAATGTTGGTGAATATGAACATGAAAGGTTGAAGGACTACAATCCCAAACGGCACGCATTGATAAAGAATATATTTCCATTTTAGATGTTGTCAGAACACAAACAATCGAAGCGTTTGTTGTAATGCCATCTAGGGTAAATTTTTCATTTGCCATAAATTTTAGATTTAAGCATGGTTTTAGCAACCTTATGTTACAGCAGAGCGTCAGCAATTTCAACATTTATAAAAAAATCTACATTTGCCAGCAACACAGACTGGGTGTATCCTATGGCTTACCTTCCGTACTAACATAATTCCTAACTTCCCGAGACATTTATGAGGAGTCGTAGAGTTCTCTGCATCTGTCTTAAGTAAATGTTGGACTAACATACCTTTCTTATCCCTACCAGCTGTAAGGACGTGGCCAGGACAATTCTTAACTGTTGGAGCGGGATATGTCTTTATCTGGGAGATAGTGATTTTTTCCTACCTACTATCTGTCCAGTAATAGATATCCGTCTTGCTCTTAATAGTTTTGAATTCGTACCACCTACGATATTGTGCAACTTGTTCGATGCTAATGCTAATTTTAGATGTTGTTCCAGAGATTGATAACAACAGCATCAGTTTGGCCAGTGACATTCAAATGGTCAGCGAGTACTGTGCCAAGTTGCCGAGCGTCACAACTTAACTCCCCCCGCTGTGGCCAGGTACCAAAGCCGTACGGAACGGGCATGCATTTTACTAATGCACCATACGAATGCCCATAAATGCATCACTAAAGATCTTAGAAAAAGTGGAAGGTCCCACCATCATTGTGCATGGCATCATTGCCATAGTTTTAATTTTCAATACTTGACTAACCCATCTGCAGCTGAAATTTTACTCGTTGTCAGCATAAAGCAAAGAAAGAATCGTTTCACTTTTACGACAATCATAACAAAACCAATAATTGACAGCTATTTATTTCTACCTATGTGTGTGAATGCATGCGTGAATTAACACACACCATCATACACCGGTTCCACTTTTGCTCAGAAGAGGCGTTGCCGTTACTGTCTCCTGATTTTTGGCAGAGTTGCCAGTCTTCTTGATTTGTAGTCTTCGGTGGTACTCAGGACAAGCTCAAATATAGAACCGCCAGGTCAGTGTCTTTTAGTTTGAAAGCAAATCCTGTCGACTTGAAGTGATCCAGAGATTCCCGAACCCAAGTCCAGGGAAGCTCAAGGAAAGTCCAGTTGACTGAAATCCAAAGGCATCAATGGGACCTGTCCATTATAGCACTAGTTTGACCCCAGACTATTTACGACAATTTTATCAGATTTGAAGTCCTCATGACTGTCGTTGAACTGGATTAGTCCTCGATGCCCTAAAAATCAAATCTCACCAATGCCCAAGATCACGCTTGATTTTCGTAGACAAGCAAGCTGCAACTGTGGATGATATTTTTATGTCCGTGCTTCACCGGACGGCAACCACTGGGCGGACCGAGAGTAGACCGATTTCACTGGGCGGATCGAGGACAGTTTCCACTAGGAGGACTGATTTCACTAGGCGGACTTCTTCGGATGCTAACGGAGTTTAAAATTCCAGATTCAACTGAACTGGTTCTGTATATTTCTGACATATTTATCCTAGCATCAGTGTTGCCAAATTAGCATAGGTATTTAACATCGCAACGTCATTTGACGTATCGATGAAATGCGCACGAATGCCACAGTCCTTCCCCATTTAATTAAAAATTGACCTTCGTGTATTAATTTATTTGATTTGATAAGGCTCGAACGAATTAACTTTACAGAGCCGAGGATTCTTGTTCACTATACAATACATCTTAAAACTATAGTCAAAACTATAATACAACACAATAAACACATTATCTTCCGCCATCCAAAAAGCCTCCTCCATCAGAACTGGAACCGTTTCCAGTGGTTTCATTGTATGGCAGTTACGCCAACGGGGGTCAGAGCGCTTCCATTGTAGCAATGGACGTAAAATGTGGTCAGCACTCACACACACACTCATCACTAAACGGTTGCTTTCCAAAGTCGACGACAGCGGCGCCGGTGGTGTAGTGGTAAGCGTGATTACCTTTCACCCCAGCAGGCCTGGGTTCAATCCCAGTCGGCGTCGCCGGGATGTTCTGAGGCATAACATCTCTGATCACGCCTTCCTTCGGAAGGGAAGTAAAGCCGTTGGTCCCCGGCTCATGAGTTGATGAGTCGATAGGTAGGGTCCAGGTGTGGGAGCTGCCTCCCTGGCGTCGGTAGCATTGGTGCTCAGCACGGAAAACAAGATCGACGGAAAACAAATCAAAGAAAAATAAAAAAAAAAAAAAAAGTCGACGACGTATCGACCGAAAGAACTGCTGATGAAGAACAATTAGGAGGACCACACAATGGTTGCTGCCGAGAAAACAGACGATCGCGCGGTACACATCGAGAGTGGCCTGCTTTTATCGACAGCCGAGTGAACACTCCAATTGACCTTCGTCAAACTTTTTATATACCTATTCAATGTTTTAATTGTAAGAGTAATCTTCAAACTTCTTCTCTTTCCTGACTCTCTTCGACTTTCTTGGTTCCACCATAGAGGTAACTCTAAGACTAGTAGTTCCCGAAGAAACGTGTTCAAGTTTTTGGCTCAGCTCTGGTACTATCTTCGGTTCCAAGCTAATCGATGCACCCCTCGAAACATGGGAAAATCCACGAACCCCTCATTTTATATTTTATCTGTCAAACTTTCATAGAGAATCAGAACAAACATAGTGTAGTACTAGAAGTCCGACAAGAATGGGATACGTTAATCGTTTGCATGGGACCAATAGGCTAGTCAAGTAGTGAGCCAATTTCAAATCGATAGTTTCGTATTGATTGTTGGTTCCACTGTAATTATTTCATTACATTTCGTTTGTACGCATCCGTTCAAGCAGTTCCGTGATATGCCTATCCGCTGCAGGTCCTGGCCTGTACGAATCTACCAAATTCATTGCATTCCGATTTAGGTTTTTCAGTTTAAAGCATTTTTTCTTTATGTGACCTTTCATTCCACAAAAATGGCATATCATGTTGGAATAATCCGGACGCTGCCTAAACCTGCCTAAACCTATGCGCCAACCGAAGTTCGCTTGACCCGCTTTCGTTGGATTCCCACTTCCATTCCTTTGTGGTGTCGTATGGTAAGGTGCAAAGCCAAGACGATTCTTTACTGGTGCTTGCTTCCTGATTCGCCAAATCATAAGTCCTTTCTAATTTTGTACATGCATAGCCTTTGCCAATAGCTCCTACTAAACCTCCATCATTGCGGTTTTGCGCTGTCCCTGCATTTGCTTTGGCAACCTCCCAAGTGGATATTATCTTCCCCGCATTGGCTAGAGTTAATTTATCCTCACTCAAGAGCCTTTGTCTTAAGTTTTTGTCCTTTATCCCTACTTCTTTAAAATTATTGAAACCGTAAAATTCAGCCAGCAGTTTGAAGGATAGAACAAAATCTTCCATGGTTTCATCCGTATTTTGAACCCTTGTGCTAAATTTATAGCGCTGGACCAAATCTGGGTCGATTTTATCGAGACGACTTTTGAGTTTGGAAACCAAGTCATCAAAAGTCGCC